CTAGGGTTTACCATAGGAGGTCATACACAGCTAGGGTTTACCATAGGAGGTCATACACAGCTAGGGTTTACCATAGGAGGTCATACACAGCCAGGGTTTACCATAGGAGGCCATACACAGCTAGGGTTTACCATAGGAGGTCATACACAGCTAGGGTTTACCATAGGAGGTCATAGCCAGGGTTTACCATAGGAGGTCATACACAGCCAGGGTTTACCATAGGAGGTCATACACAGCTAGGGTTTACCATAGGAGGTCATACACAGCTAGGGTTTACCATAGGAGGTCATACACAGCTAGGGTTTACCATAGGAGGTCATACACAGCTAGGGTTTACCATAGGAGGTCATAGCCAGGGTTTACCATAGGAGGTCATACACAGCCAGGGTTTACCATAGGAGGTCATACACAGCTAGGGTTTACCATAGGAGGTCATACACAGCTAGAATTTACCATAGGAGGTCATACACAGCTAGGGTTTACCATAGGAGGTCATACACAGCTAGGGTTTACCATAGGAGGTCATACACAGCTAGGGTTTACCATAGGAGGTCATACACAGCTAGGGTTTACCATAGGAGGTCATACACAGCCAGGGTTTACCATAGGAGGCCATACACAGCTAGGGTTTACCATAGGAGGTCATACACAGCTAGGGTTTACCATAGGAGGTCATAGCCAGGGTTTACCATAGGAGGTCATACACAGCCAGGGTTTACCATAGGAGGTCATACACAGCTAGGGTTTACCATAGGAGGTCATACACAGCTAGGGTTTACCATAGGAGGTCATACACAGCTAGGGTTTACCATAGGAGGTCATACACAGCTAGGGTTTACCATAGGAGGTCATAGCCAGGGTTTACCATAGGAGGTCATACACAGCCAGGGTTTACCATAGGAGGTCATACACAGCTAGGGTTTACCATAGGAGGTCATACACAGCCAGGGTTTACCATAGGAGGTCATAGCCAGGGTTTACCATAGGAGGTCATAGCCAGGGTTTACCATAGGAGGTCATACACAGCCAGGGTTTACCATAGGAGGTCATAGCCAGGGTTTACCATAGGAGGTCATACACAGCTAGGGTTTACCATAGGAGGTTATACACAGCTAGGGTTTACCATAGGAGGTCATAGCCAGGGTTTACCATAGGAGGTCATACACAGCTAGGGTTTACCATAGGAGGTCATACACAGCTAGGGTTTACCATAGGAGGTCATAGCCAGGGTTTACCATAGGAGGTCATACACAGCAAGGGTTTACCATAGGAGGTCATACACAGCTAGGGTTTACCATAGGAGGTCATACACAGCCAGGGTTTACCATAGGAGGTCATACACAGCCAGGGTTTACCATAGGAGGTCATACACAGCTAGGGTTTACCATAGGAGGTCATACACAGCCAGGGTTTACCATAGGAGGTCATAGCCAGGGTTTACCATAGGAGGTCATACACAGCCAGGGTTTACCATAGGAGGTCATACACAGCTAGGGTTTACCATAGGAGGTCATACACAGCCAGGGTTTACCATAGGAGGTCATACACAGCTAGGGTTTACCATAGGAGGTCATACACAGCTAGGGTTTACCATAGGAGGTCATACACAGCTAGGGTTTACCATAGGAGGTCATACACAGCCAGGGTTTACCATAGGAGGTCATAGCTAGGGTTTACCATAGGAGGTCATACACAGCTAGGGTTTACCATAGGAGGTCATAGCCAGAGTTTACCATAGGAGGTCATAGCCAGGGTTTACCATAGGAGGTCATACACAGCTAGGGTTTACCATAGGAGGTCATACACAGCTAGGGTTTACCATAGGAGGTCATACACAGCCAGGGTTTACCATAGGAGGTCATACACAGCTAGGGTTTACCATAGGAGGTCATACACAGCTAGGGTTTACCATAGGAGGTCATAGCCAGGGTTTACCATAGGAGGTCATACACAGCTAGGGTTTACCATAGGAGGTCATACACAGCTAGGGTTTACCATAGGAGGTCATAGCCAGGGTTTACCATAGGAGGTCATACACAGCAAGGGTTTACCATAGGAGGTCATACACAGCTAGGGTTTACCATAGGAGGTCATACACAGCCAGGGTTTACCATAGGAGGTCATACACAGCCAGGGTTTACCATAGGAGGTCATACACAGCTAGGGTTTACCATAGGAGGTCATACACAGCCAGGGTTTACCATAGGAGGTCATAGCCAGGGTTTACCATAGGAGGTCATACACAGCCAGGGTTTACCATAGGAGGTCATACACAGCTAGGGTTTACCATAGGAGGTCATACACAGCCAGGGTTTACCATAGGAGGTCATACACAGCTAGGGTTTACCATAGGAGGTCATACACAGCTAGGGTTTACCATAGGAGGTCATAGCCAGGGTTTACCATAGGAGGTCATACACAGCTAGGGTTTACCATAGGAGGTCATACACAGCTAGGGTTTACCATAGGAGGTCATAGCCAGGGTTTACCATAGGAGGTCATACACAGCCAGGGTTTACCATAGGAGGTCATACACAGCTAGGGTTTACCATAGGAGGTCATACACAGCTAGGGTTTACCATAGGAGGTCATAGCCAGAGTTTACCATAGGAGGTCATACACAGCTAGGGTTTACCATAGGAGGTCATACACAGCTAGGGTTTACCATAGGAGGTCATAGCCAGGGTTTACCATAGGAGGTCATACACAGCCAGGGTTTACCATAGGAGGTCATACACAGCTAGGGTTTACCATAGGAGGTCATACATAGCCAGGGTTTACCATAGGAGGTCATACACAGCTAGGGTTTACCATAGGAGGTCATACACAGCTAGGGTTTACCATAGGAGGTCATACACAGCTAGGGTTTACCATAGGAGGTCATACACAGCTAGGGTTTACCATAGGAGGTCATACACAGCCAGGGTTTACCATAGGAGGTCATAGCTAGGGTTTACCATAGGAGGTCATACACAGCTAGGGTTTACCATAGGAGGTCATAGCCAGAGTTTACCATAGGAGGTCATACACAGCCAGGGTTTACCATAGGAGGTCATAGCCAGGGTTTACCATAGGAGGTCATACACAGCCAGGGTTTACCATAGGAGGTCATAGCCAGGGTTTACCATAGGAGGTCATACACAGCCAGGGTTTACCATAGGAGGTCATAGCCAGGGTTTACCATAGGAGGTCATACACAGCTAGGGTTTACCATAGGAGGTCATACACAGCTAGGGTTTACCATAGGAGGTCATACACAGCTAGGGTTTACCATAGGAGGTCATACACAGCTAGGGTTTACCATAGGAGGTCATACACAGCTAGGGTTTACCATAGGAGGTCATAGCCAGGGTTTACCATAGGAGGTCATACACAGCTAGGGTTTACCATAGGAGGTCATACACAGCTAGGGTTTACCATAGGAGGTCATAGCCAGGGTTTACCATAGGAGGTCATACACAGCTAGGGTTTACCATAGGAGGTCATAGCCAGGGTTTACCATAGGAGGTCATACACAGCCAGGGTTTACCATAGGAGGTCATAGCTAGGGTTTACCATAGGAGGTCATACACAGCTAGGGTTTACCATAGGAGGTCATAGCCAGGGTTTACCATAGGAGGTCATACACAGCCAGGGTTTACCATAGGAGGTCATAGCCAGGGTTTACCATAGGAGGTCATACACAGCCAGGGTTTACCATAGGAGGTCATACACAGCTAGGGTTTACCATAGGAGGTCATACACAGCTAGGGTTTACCATAGGAGGTCATACACAGCTAGGGTTTACCATAGGAGGTCATACACAGCTAGGGTTTACCATAGGAGGTCATACACAGCTAGGGTTTACCATAGGAGGTCATACACAGCTAGGGTTTACCATAGGAGGTCATACACAGCTAGGGTTTACCATAGGAGGTCATAGCCAGGGTTTACCATAGGAGGTCATAGCCAGGGTTTACCATAGGAGGTCATACACAGCTAGGGTTTACCATAGGAGGTCATAGCCAGGGTTTACCATAGGAGGTCATACACAGCTAGGTTTTACCATAGGAGGTCATAGCCAGGGTTTACCATAGGAGGTCATACACAGCTAGGGTTTACCATAGGAGGTCATAGCCAGGGTTTACCATAGGAGGTCATACACAGCTAGGGTTTACCATAGGAGGTCATACACAGCCAGGGTTTACCATAGGAGGTCATACACAGCTAGGGTTTACCATAGGAGGTCATACACAGCTAGGGTTTACCATAGGAGGTCATACACAGCTGTTAGAGGATCTTGTAGTACACAACATGATTTAATAGTAGAGCAAAAGACATCACCTACACAAGACATCACCTATACAAGACATCACCTACACAAGACATCACATACACAAGACATCACCTATACAAGACATCACATACACAAGACATCACCTACACAAGACATCACATACACAAGACATCACCTATACAAGACATCACGTACACAAGACATCACATACACAAGACATCACCTATACAAGACATCACCTACACAAGACATCACCTACACAAGACATCACATACACAAGACATCACCTACACAAGACATCACATACACAAGACATCACCTATACAAGACATCACCTATACAAGACATCACCTACACAAGACATCACCTACACAAGACATCACCTACACAAGACATCACATACACAAGACATAACATACACAAGACATAACATACACAAGACATAACATATACAAGACATCACATGACATTAAATTCAACTACAATTTTTTGTTTACTTTGCTAGTTGTTTGCACACCAAAATATGAAATGACAAACAAAATGACAAGAGCATCAAATGACATAATGAAACAGTGATAACAGCATCAGATGACATGATAAAACTAATTGGTTTGGTTAATCACATAAATTAGTTTTCTTGACCATTTGGGAAAAAAGGTTAAAAAATTATTTTTTTTTAACCCAATGTTTTAAAAAATTATAACCCATGTAATCCTTATTTCAGCACTGTTGGAGATATTTCTGAAACTAATAATACAGTAGCTAAGTAAGATTAAGATTTAATCTGCATCCTTCTGATTTTGGTGATGGTTGCTTTAGCATGGAATACCCTTACCTTTGAACCTAAATACCACACCATATCGCTTGTATCTAATCTGTAACCTTCAACCTGAATACCTAATGACCTCTTGTATCTAATCTATAGCCATTGTATCTAACCTTTAGCCTTTTAAGCTATGTACATTGCATTATTATTGTCTAAAAAATCCCTGCAAAAATAAACTGCTTTGCTTTTTTGAATGAGGTGAACTGGAATATAGCATAATTTGAAGGCTTCAAGAAAACAAATATTATAACATGAAGAAAATGTTGATAAAATACTTTTTAAAAAATAAATGGAGTTATAAGCATGAAGCAATTTTATGAAACAATACAAAAACTGAGTTTGCTGGTTATAGATTTCTAACATACACTTATTGCCTTGTTTCTTGTATAGTAATCACATAATAACAAGGAAATTGACAGAATTTAAAATTAGCATAAACCCAAAGAGATGTTACTCTAATTCTAATACTTTGCCAGATACATAACCTTTGGGAAGCCTGAAAAAAATAATAGCATGAAAATGGAAAGAAAAAAAAATCAAGGGAAAAAAAGAGTATGAATTTTTTTTTAAATATGCTGGCATGAAAAACAGATATAAATCTCGCTTCATCCTAGTGCATGATAATTATGTACATTGCGTATAATAAGAGTGAGACATTCCCCTCACCCCCCCCACCCCCCCCCCCCCCTCCCTCCCATATTGCACCATTTCATTTCATGCTTTTCTCATGACCTAAACTCATATTATCAAGTGTGGTAACTATATGAGATGTTCAATAAAAGTGTGGTGACTATATGAGATGTTCAATAAAAGTGTGGTGACTATATGAGATGTTCAATAAAAGTGTGGTGACTATATGAGATGTTCAATAAAAGTGTGGTGACTATATGAGATGTTCAGTACTAGTGTGGTGACTATATGAGATGTTCAATAAAAGTGTGGTGACTATATGAGATGTTCAATAAAAGTGTGGTGACTATATGAGATGTTCAATAAAAGTGTGGTGACTATATGAGATGTTCAATAAAAGTGTGTTGACTATATGAGATGTTCAGTACTAGTGTGGTGACTATATGAGATGTTCAATAAAAGTGTGGTGACTATATGAGATGTTCAATAAAAGTGTGGTGACTATATGAGATGTTCAGTACTAGTGTGGTGACTATATGAGATGTTCAATAAAAGTGTGGTGACTATATGAGATGTTCAGTACTAGTGTGTTGACTATATGAGATGTTCAGTACTAGTGTCGTGACTATATGAGATGTTCAATAAAAGTGTGGTGACTATATGAGATGTTCAATAAAAGTGTGTTGACTATATGAGATGTTCAGTACTAGTGTGGTGACTGTATGAGATGTTCAATAAAAGTGTGGTGACTATATGAGATGTTCAGTACTAGTGTGGTGGCTATATAATAACTAGTTGCACACAATTTTTTAAATAATTAAAATGACAAAATAACGACGGGGTTGTATTAAGGGGACTAAATGTTGCAAAATGATACCAAATTTATGTTTATAAGATAAACGGTTCTCTAGATATGACGGTTTTAGTGTAAAAATTGTGGGGACAACTAAGCCTATGGAAAATGAAAGCAAAAAGTGGTCACGTCGAGAGCGTAGAAAAAGGCGAAAGGGAAATAACTCTGCGTAGGCGCACAATAATAAAATTTTCAAATAAGTATTTTTAAATGTATTTACAACTGCATAGAGTACCTCCAGTTTCAAATATGACATCTTGCCACTTGGTTTTGAACGTGAGGGAAAGTTTGTTCGTGCGATGACCTACGATTACCAGGCCGGGTACCGATCTATCAGTTTAGTTAGCGGGCGTACTACATACTAGACCACACTGTCCAGTTGTGATAACATTTTACAAAACTTGTGGATACGGTGTCTGAAAAAACATCTGGCAACAATGAGCTATGAATGGGGAGGGAAATGTGTGTAAAAAAGAGTGACTTTATTTGCGGACGATGATGGACGGATTTATTTCCGTACCACGTTTATAAAAGCAAAAAGTACCCCAGGAATACATAGCTAACTTATCAACCATACTTTACATACTTTCAACTTCATTTTTAGATGTAGTATTCGAAAAAATCAATCACACTAACTTAACAAAACCAACTCAATTAACACCCGACTCAAAGGTCTTTTACTCAGAAAGTCCCCCCCCCCCTCCTGATACAATCGTTATTTGAGTGTGAGTGGGTATCAAGCAAATAAACATAGGCGTTTGTTTACAAGGGTATGTTTTATTCTTTAGCAAGATAAAGTAATGGGATATGAAATAAATGAAGACTATCAGTGTACACATTCAGCTTGGTACAATAGAATGAACACACTCGTAAAATGTTGTGTTTTTAACTATTTATAAGCCAAAGGTGGAAATTATTAATTGAACAGTGGTTGATTAAATTCACCAAATAGACTGTGCGGGATCCAAATCTTATTAATATAAGAATGTTTAAGACAGCTTAGATACATCTTTATTTTACATTTTAAATAGACCTAATGGTCTAATAATATAATACAAATATAACGGAATACGAAAGCGGAGAAAGGTAGAATCGATATCGCTAATACTTAGGCCTACGGGTTCTATTTTGTTAGTCGGGTTTTACAGCTTGTGAACGTCTGAAGAAGAAAGTAAAAACATTTGTGAAAATATCATTAAAAATGTATCGACTCACACTAAATTCAAATTTTAAGTCTGAATGTTTTCTCATTTTAGTTGATCAAAATACCAACGGATATAGCGACAAAACATTATCGATACCGTTTTTCTCGATTTTTAGATTTAAGCCTCTATTATTATAATGCATTACGAAAAAGATAATTTTCGTTGTTAAAAAATAAAACTGAAAATCATATAGTCTTACTCAAATCGATTCTAGTGTCATTATTTTTAGTTTTAAATCATTCTATGTATAACTTAATTTTAACTTTGTGTTGAGTTATCGTATGTCTCATTCAATCATTAGTAGCACGCAGGACAGGCCGCAACATATATGCTCAACAAATACAACTTTTATTATTTTAAAAAGGTTAATTTATTATCTTTGAATCTACTCATTTACTAGTTTAATTATTAATATTCTTTAAGAAAAAAATGTATAAAAATTGGTGACATAATTCCTATAAAACGAAGGAACATGAAAATGTGGTATCGATACCGCTAATAGGATACCTAGTTTGTGAGACATTTTGCATAGTCTGCTAAATGGATAAACCTAAAATAAAAATGCTAGTTAGAAAGTATAATAAAAAAATAAAGATAATCCCACTAAAAACAGAGTTAGTCTCAATGTTTTACTATTTCATGTAAATTTTTGAAAACTCACCTTTTAAACTCAATATGAGATTAACAAAAACAAGTAAAAAGTTGAAATAAAAATTATACGGCGGTAACGGTCAATAACCGCTGCTAATAAGGAGGGCATATATGATTGGAATCATAACCACGTTCTATCGTTTTTTAAATGGTTAACATAGCAATGCGAACGACTACATTTGAATTAGATTTTATTGTGCACGAAAGGTTTAGAGCCTGTGACGTCATATTTTATTTACTTGTGCAACTAGCTACTATATGAGATGTTCAATGCTAGTGTGGTGACTATAAGTTGTGTGTGATATAAGGATGATCTATGTGATCAAGTGTGTGATATAAGGCTAACCCATATGATTAACTTATGTGTGATATAAGGCTGATCTCTATGATTAAGTGTGTTATATAAGGCTAACCCATAGGATTAACTTATGTGTGATATAAGGCTGATCTCTATGGTGTGTGAGAATTGAATTGCTAACCACTTTTCTTTGTTGGTTGCCAGAAATCCCTTTTTTGTGATGACGAATGGAGGCTTGACATTTGTATATCCATCAAGGTGAGGCTCATGCTCAATGACTTTTCCTGTATCAAATTTTTTAAATCTCACTCATGTATTCCAACACATTGTTTTTTACTAAGACTGCTTTTTTTAAAAATGTTCTTAACTTAATACATTTTCCAAGGAAATAACTTTAAAAATAACTTTGTAACTTGACTAGCTTTCAAGGTGTATCTGATTATTTTATTGCTTCCATTAAGTTACATAACAACCATATTTCACTCTTTTTTCCAGTAAGGCATCTTATTTTGAAAATAATTGGGACCCCAGAAATTCTTCCCTCTACAAGCGTGCTCTGTTCAGATCCAAGTGTATTTTTATGGCTGAATATACAAATGGTAGGTTTGTAATGAACATATTATTTCATGCTTTTAAAATGACTTGATTTTTTCAGACTTTTTATTTTATTGACCTTCAGGTGAAAGATCCAATTCATCTTCCCACCCTTATGTGGTGTCTGCTTGTCCAGTGGAAATAACAGAAAAAAATAAAACACTCATTGACAAGGCTGCGGGTGAGACTCAGCTTACAAAAAACAGCTCAAGTTTTTGTTGTGTGTAAGAAATCTTCATGTGTTAGTTGTGTGTAAGAAATTTTCATGTGTTTGTTGTGTGTAAGAAATTTTCATGTGTTTGTTGTGTGTAAGAAATCTTCATGTGTTTGTTGTGTGTAAGAAATCTTCATGTGTTGTGTGTAAGAAATCTTCATGTGTTTGTTGTGTGTAAGAAATTTTCATGTGTTTGTTGTGTGTAAGAAATCTTCATGTGTTTGTTGTGTGTAAGAAATCTTCATGTGTTTGTTGTGTGTAAGAAATCTTCATGTGTTGTGTGTAAGAAATCTTCATGTGTTGTGTGTAAGAAATCTTCATGTGTTGTGTGTAAGAAATCTTCATGTGTTGTGTGTAAGAAATCTTCATGTGTTGTGTGTAAGAAATCTTCATGTGTTTGTTGTGTGTAAGAAATCTTCATGTGTTTGTTGTGTGTAAGAAATCTTCACGTGTTTGTTGTGTGTAAGAAATCTTCATGTGTTGTGTGTAAGAAATCTTCATGTGTTGTGTGTAAGAAATCTTCATGTGTTTGTTGTGTGTAAGAAATCTTCATGTGTTTGTTGTGTGTAAGAAATCTTCATGTGTTGTGTGTAAGAAATCTTCATGTGTTGTGTGTAAGAAATCATCTGTTTGTTGTGTGTAAGAAATCTTCATGTGTTGTGTGTAAGAAATCTTCATGTGTTTGTTGTGTGTAAGAAATCTTCATGTGTTTGTTGTGTGTAAGAAATCTTCATGTGTTGTGTGTAAGAAATCTTCATGTGTTGTGTGTAAGAAATCTTCATGTGTTGTGTGTAAGAAATCTTCATGTGTTTGTTGTGTGTAAGAAATCTTCATGTGTTTGTTGTGTGTAAGAAATCTTCATGTGTTTGTTGTGTGTAAGAAATCTTCACGTGTTTGTTGTGTGTAAGAAATCTTCATGTGTTTGTTGTGTGTAAGAAATCTTCACGTGTTTGTTGTGTGTAAGAAATCTTCACGTGTTTGTTGTGTGTAAGAAATCTTCATGTGTTGTGTGTAAGAAATCTTCATGTGTTTGTTGTGTGTAAGAAATCTTCATGTGTTTGTTGTGTGTAAGAAATCTTCATGTGTTTGTTGTGTGTAAGAAATCTTCATGTGTTTGTTGTGTGTAAGAAATCTTCATGTGTTTGTTGTGTGTAAGAAATCTTCATGTGTTTGTTGTGTGTAAGAAATCTTCATGTGTTTGTTGTGTGTAAGAAATCTTCATGTGTTTGTTGTGTGTAAGAAATCTTCATGTGTTTGTTGTGTGTAAGAAATCTTCATGTGTTTGTTGTGTGTAAGAAATCTTCATGTGTTTGTTGTGTGTAAGAAATCTTCATGTGTCTGTTGTGTGTAAGAAATCTTCATGTGTCTGTTGTGTGTAAGAAATCTTCATGTGTTTGTTGTGTGTAAGAAATCTTCATGTGTTTGTTGTGTGTAAGAAATCTTCATGTGTTTGTTGTGTGTAAGAAATCTTCATGTGTTTGTTGTGTGTAAGAAATCTTCATGTGTTTGTTGTGTGTAAGAAATCTTCATGTGTTTGTTGTGTGTAAGAAATCTTCATGTGTTAGTTGCGTGTAAGAAATCGTCATGTGTTTGTTGCGTGTAAGAAATCGTCATGTGTTTGTTGTGTGTAAGAAATCTTCATGTGTTTGTTGTGTGTAAGAAATCGTCATGTGTTTGTTGTGTGTAAGAAATCGTCATGTGTTTGTTGTGTGTAAGAAATCGTCATGTGTTTGTTGTGTGTAAGAAATCTTCATGTGTTTGTTGTGTGTAAGAAATCTTCATGTGTTTGTTGTGTGTAAGAAATCATCTGTTTGTTGTGTGTAAGAAATCTTCATGTGTTTGTTGTGTGTAAGAAATCTTCACGTGTTTGTTGTGTGTAAGAAATCTTCATGTGTTTGTTGTGTGTAAGAAATCTTCATGTGTTTGTTGTGTGTAAGAAATCTTCACGTGTTTGTTGTGTGTAAGAAATCTTCACGTGTTTGTTGTGTGTACGAAATTTTCATTCAAAAGATGAGCATGGAGCAGCTACTAGGGAGATGGTTAAATATGATTGCGAAAATTTTTGGGAAAAATTCACATTTTTAAAAACTCAGTAGAAAATATAGGCCTGCTTATTTAAATTATGCTTTCTTAGATACTATAATATATACATGGTAGCCTACATAGTTTCGTGATAACTTTTATGACTTTTAAAACATTCTGTTATCATAGGTTTTATGACTTTTGAAACATTCTATTATCATAGGTTTTGAACCTCACGGTCCATGGGGCAAGTGAAGTAGAGTTCACCTGTTTCTGTTACTCTGCATATGAAGGGATAGTGTGGTCAGCACTATGCCCAGCCACCCGTACTTTCCCTATATGAGTTTGCCAACCATTAGAGCTGGGTGTCATGTTGAGACAGATGTAAATTGTAAATAAACTCCACAGTTGTGGGGGACTGGTTGACCCATGATCAGGTCCTGGCCAAGATGAAAAATGCCACCAGTTCTGGCAGCCCAGATGTCATGACATGTGAAGACGGGAACACACTTGCCTGTTACTTGGTGGACGATGGGGGATTTCTTGTGGCTGCTAATATTGAAAGCCCTCTTCAGCAGGTTTGATATTTCATTGCTAATGCTGGAAGTTTATGTTGTTAGAGAATGAAATAGGACTAGACTGTTTATGTTGTTAGAGAATGAAATAGGACTAGACTATTTTGTTTATGTTGTTAGAGAATGAAATAGGACTAGACTGTTTATGTTGCTAGAGAATGAAATAGGACTAGACTATTTTGTTTATGTTGTTAGAGAATGAAATAGGACTAGACTATTTTGTTTATGTTGTTAGAGAATGAAATAGGACTAGACTATTTTGTTTATGTTGTTAGAGAATGAAATAGGACTAGACTATTTTGTTTATGTTGCTAGAGAATGAAATAGGACTAGACTGTTTATGTTGCTAGAGAATGAAATAGGACTACACTATTTTGTTTATGTTGCTAGAGAATGAAATAGGACTAGACTATTTTGTTTATGTTGTTAGAGAATGAAATAGGACTAGACTATTTTGTTTATGTTGCTAGAGAATGAAATAGGACTAGACTATTTTGTTTATGTTGTTAGAGAATGAAATAGGACTAGACTGTTTATGTTGCTAGAGAATGAAATAGGACTAGACTATTTTGTTTATGTTGTTAGAGAATGAAATAGGACTAGACTATTTTGTTTATGTTGTTAGAGAATGAAATAGGACTAGACTGTTTATGTTGTTAGAGAATGAAATAGGACTAGACTGTTTATGTTGTTAGAGAATGAAATAGGACTAGACTGTTTATGTTGTGAGAGAATGAAATAGGACTAGACTATTTTGTTTATGTTGCTAGAGAATGAAATAGGACTCCGCTATTTTGTTTATGTTGTTAGAGAATGAAATAGGACTAGACTATTTTGTTTATGTTGTGAGAGAATGAAATAGGACTAGACTATTTTGTTTATGTTGCTAGAGAATGAAATAGGACTCCACTATTTTGTTTATGTTGTTAGAGAATGAAATAGGACTAGACTATTTTGTTTATGTTGTTAGAGAATGAAATAGGACTAGACTATTTTGTTTATGTTGTTAGAGAATGAAATAGGACTAGACTATTTTGTTTATGTTGTTAGAGAATGAAATAGGACTAGACTATTTTGTTTATGTTGCTAGAGAATGAAATAGGACTAGACTATTTTGTTTATGTTGTGAGAGAATGAAATAGGACTAGACTATTTTGTTTATGTTGTTAGAGAATGAAATAGGACTAGACTGTTTTGTTTATGTTGTTAGAGAATGAAATAGGACTAGACTGTTTATGTTGCTAGAGAATGAAATAGGACTAGACTATTTTGTTTATGTTGTTAGAGAATGAAATAGGACTAGACTATTTTGTTTATGTTGTTAGAGAATGAAATAGGACTAGACTGTTTATGTTGCTAGAGAATGAAATAGGACTAGACTATTTTGTTTATGTTGTTAGAGAATGAAATAGGACTAGACTATTTTGTTTATGTTGTTAGAGAATGAAATAGGACTAGACTATTTTGTTTATGTTGCTAGAGAATGAAATAGGACTAGACTGTTTATGTTGCTAGAGAATGAAATAGGACTAGACTATTTTGTTTATGTTGTTAGAGAATGAAATAGGACTAGACTGTTTATGTTGCTAGAGAATGAACTAGGACTAGACTGTTTATGTTGCTAGAGAATGAAATAGGACTAGACTGTTTATATTGTTAGAGAATGAAATAGGACTAGACTATTTTGTTTATGTTGTTAGAGAATGAAATAGGACTAGACTGTTTTATTGTTTATGTTGCTAGAGAATGAAATAGGACTAGACTATTTTGTTTATGTTGTTAGAGAATGAAATAGGACTAGACTATTTTGTTTATGTTGTTAGAGAATGAAATAGGACTAGACTGTTTATGTTGCTAGAGAATGAAATAGGACTACACTATTTTGTTTATGTTGCTAGAGAATGAAATAGGACTAGACTATTTTGTTTATGTTGTTAGAGAATGAAATAGGACTAGACTGTTTATGTTGCTAGAGAATGAAATAGGACTAGACTATTTTGTTTATGTTGTTAGAGAATGAAATAGGACTAGACTATTTTGTTTATGTTGTTAGAGAATGAAATAGGACTAGACTGTTTATGTTGTTAGAGAATGAAATAGGACTAGACTATTTTGTTTATGTTGTTAGAGAATGAAATAGGACTAGACTGTTTTGTTTATGTTGTTAGAGAATGAAATAGGACTAGACTGTTTATGTTGTGAGAGAATGAAATAGGACTAGACTATTTTGTTTATGTTGCTAGAGAATGAAATAGGACTCCACTATTTTGTTTATGTTGTTAGAGAATGAAATAGGACTAGACTGTTTTGTTTATGTTGTTAGAGAATGAAATAGGACTAGACTGTTTATGTTGTTAGAGAATGAAATAGGACTAGACTATTTTGTTTATGTTGTTAGAGAATGAAATAGGACTAGACTATTTTGTTTATGTTGTTAGAGAATGAAATAGGACTAGACTGTTTATGTTGTTAGAGAATGAAATAGGACTAGACTATTTTGTTTATGTTGCTAGAGAATGAAATAGGACTAGACTATTTTGTTTATGTTGTTAGAGAATGAAATAGGACTCCGCTATTTTGTTTATGTTGTTAGAGAATGAAATAGGACTAGACTATTTTGTTTATGTTGTGAGAGAATGAAATAGGACTAGACTATTTTGTTTATGTTGTTAGAGAATGAAATAGGACTCTACTATTTTGTTTATGTTGTTAGAGAATGAAATAGGACTAGACTGTTTATGTTGCTAGAGAATGAAATAGGACTAGACTATTTTGTTTATGTTGTTAGAGAATGAAATAGGACTAGACTATTTTGTTTATGTTGTTAGAGAATGAAATAGGACTAGACTGTTTATGTTGCTAGAGAATGAAATAGGACTAGACTATTTTGTTTATGTTGTTAGAGAATGAAATAGGACTAGACTATTTTGTTTATGTTGTTAGAGAATGAAATAGGACTAGACTATTTTGTTTATGTTGCTAGAGAATGAAATAGGACTAGACTGTTTATGTTGCTAGAGAATGAAATAGGACTAGACTATTTTGTTTATGTTGTTAGAGAATGAAATAGGACTAGACTGTTTATGTTGCTAGAGAATGAAATAGGACTAGACTGTTTATGTTGCTAGAGAATGAAATAGGACTAGACTGTTTATGTTGTTAGAGAATGAAATAGGACTAGACTATTTTGTTTATGTTGTTAGAGAATGAAATAGGACTAGACTATTTTGTTTATGTTGCTAGAGAATGAAATTGGACTAGACTGTTTATGTTGCTAGAGAATGAAATAGGACTAGACTATTTTGTTTATGTTGTTAGAGAATGAAATAGGACTAGACTATTTTGTTTATGTTGCTAATAAAGCTAATCAAATACTTGACCCGCTCCACAGATTGGACGTTTCTTCGGAGAAGTTGACCCAGCCATTTTTAACAAACTAAATGGGACAGTTTTTTTCAAGTAAATTTTATTTTATTTATCTTGGTGTAAAAGGACCCTCTCGGTATGGTTCCCGACAAAAAGGCACCCATTATCTAAGCTTCATCAAACGTCTCTTGATCAAATGGCCAAAATCATTAGGTCAATAGGAACTCTTCTGCAATGCACTATAGTGTTAGTTTTATATATCTCACTACAGAGTTTCTATATCTCACTACAGAGTTAGTTTTATATATCTCACTGTTGTGGCTTAAGCAAGGACCTCCCAGCCCAACTGACCAGGTCCCTCCCAGCCCAACTGACCAGGTCCCTCCCAGCCCAACTGACCAGGTCCTCCCAGCCCAACTGACCAGGACCTCCCAGCCCAACTGACCAGGACCTCCCAGCCCAACTGACCAGGTCCTTCCCAGCCCAACTGACCAGGACCTCCCAGCCCAACTGACCAGGTCCCTCCCAGCCCAACTGACCAGGTCCCTCCCAGCCCAACTGACCAGGTCCCTCCCAGCCCAACTGACCAGGTCCCTCCCAGCCCAACTGACCAGGACCTCCCAGCCCAACTGACCAGGTCCCTCACAGCCCAACTGACCAGGTCCCTCCCAGCCCAACTGACCAGGTCCCTCCCAGCCCAACTGACCAGGACCTCCCAGCCCAACTGACCAGGTCCCTCCCAGCCCAACTGACCAGGTCCCTCCCAGCCCAACTGACCAGGTCCTTCCCAGCCCAACTGACCAGGACCTCCCAGCCCAACTGACCAGGTCCCTCCCAGCCCAACTGACCAGGTCCCTCCCAGCCCAACTGACCAGGTCCCTCCCAGACCAACTGACCAGGACCTCCCAGCCCAACTGACCAGGACCTCCCAGCCCAACTGACCAGGTCCCTCCCAGACCAACTGACCAGGTCCCTCCCAGCCCAACTGACCAGGTCCCTCCCAGCCCAACTGACCAGGACCTCCCAGCCCAACTGACCAGGACCTCCCAGACCAACTGACCAGGACCTCCCAGCCCAACTGACCAGGACCTCCCAGCCCAACTGACCAGGACCTCCCAGCCCAACTGACTAGGTCCCTCCCAGACCAACTGACCAGGTCCCTCCCAGCCCAACTGACCAGGACCTCCCAGCCCAACTGACCAGGACCTCCCAGCCCAACTGACTAGGTCCCTCCCAGCCCAACTGACCAGGACCTCCCAGCCCAACTGACCAGGACCTCCCAGCCCAACTGACCAGGACCTCCCAGCCCAACTGACCAGGACCTCCCAGCCCAACTGACCAGGACCTCCCAGCCCAACTGACCAGGACCTCCCAGCCCAACTGACCAGGTCCCTCCCAGCCCAACTGACCAGGACCTCCCAGCCCAACTGACCAGGACCTCCCAGCCCAACTGACCAGGTCCTTCCCAGCCCAACTGACTAGGTCCTCCCAGCCCAACTGACCAGGTCCTTCCCAGCCCAACTGACCAGGACCTCCCAGCCCAACTGACCAGGACCTCCCAGCCCAACTGACCAGGTCCCTCCCAGCCCAACTGACCAGGTCCTTCCCAGCCCAACTGACCAGGTCCCTCCCAGCCCAACTGACCAGGACCTCCCAGCCCAACTGACCAGGACCTCCCAGCCCAACTGACTAGGTCCCTCCCAGCCCAACTGACCAGGACCTCCCAGCCCAACTGACCAGGACCTCCCAGCCCAACTGACCAGGACCTCCCAGCCCAACTGACTAGGTCCCTCCCAGCCCAACTGACCAGGTCCCTCCCAGACCAACTGACCAGGACCTCCCAGCCCAACTGACCAGGACCTTCCAGCTGTCCTCTCTATGAATTGTTCCTGTATTTTTCAGAGCCATTCAGCATGACTTTCAAGCCACTTGTCCAGTGAAAAAAGATGAAGTTAGTGCAGGATTTAGAAGTTTCACTGTAGTAAGTTCTTTTCTAACAGACATAATGATTTTTCTTGTTTTTTACTTTCTAATATAGAGGAAGTATTTCAATCCTGCTGAATAATTTACCGTGCGGCGTCAAAACGGCAAATGACAAAACGGCCCCGTCAAAACGACCCCGACAAATCAGCCCGACATAAGAGCCCTGTCAAAATGGCCAGCGACATATGGACCCTGTCATAAAGGCTCCTGACAAATAGGCTCCCATTATATAGGCTCCCGACAAAAAGGCTCCAGTCAATAAGGCTCCCGACATATAGGCTCCCGTCATTTAGTTTTTTCAACAAAATGGCCCGCGTCATTACAACTCCCGACAAATGGGCTCCCCCCATTTAGTTTCTCCACAAAACGGCCCCCGTCATTACGACTCCAGACAAATAGGCTAGCGTCATTTTGGCTCACAACAAAAAGGCTCTTGTCAATTTGGCTCCAGACAAAAGGACCAGTGACTGTAGAGACTAAGTCTCCCTACAAAGCGGTCTCATTGAATATGACACCTGCCAGTGGGACCCCTTCATCAATATTCTTTAGAGTAGCTTATCCAACACTCTTAAGTAATACAACGTATGCATCTCTTGTTCGGCAGGCCTTATTTTTATATTAGTTTATCTATTATAAAATATTGTATGTTTTAATTTAAGGGTCATCTATCTATGACATCCATAATTGAGTCGGTTATAGGCTGTTCCAACAGCTTGTAGGTTATCAAAACAAAATGTCGTTGTCCTGTAAACATCATGTATATTATCGTACATTTTCACTTCTGTGCTCGCTTTTATGCAACAGATCTTTACTGTTGTAAATTAAACATTATCAAAATTTTAGAATTGGTAGATTTTAGCTGTTAAGGGCTTGATTTGTTTGTGAATTGATGTTGGTTCATAAAAAACAATTTCATTCAGGCATTAAAAAGAGGTTATAGTAGTAGTGGAGGTAGGACAAAATGGTTACTTTTATGCCAATAGTGGTCATGCCATTCATTTGTCTGGAGCCAATATGTCGGGAGTCATTTTGTGGGTAGTCAGTATGTCGGGAGCCCATTTGTTGGTAGCCAATATGTCATGAGCCCATTTGTCAGGGGCCAATATGTCAAGAGTACGTGTGTCAGGAGCATAAATGTCGGGAGCTCATTTGTCAGGAGACTATATGTCGCGAGCCAATATAACGGGAGCCAATAAGTGGGGGCCTTTTTGACGAGGCTATTTTGACTGGGTCGTTTTGTCGGGGGTCGATTTGACGGGGTCATATTAACGGGGCCATTTTGACGGGGCCGGTTTGTCCTAGGCCGTTTTGACAGGGCACCATAATTTACAGGTATTTTGACAGTTATCCCCACTTGTCATTGAACCAATATAAAGAATGCATTATAATCGTGGAAAAATCTAAATTGATTTTTTGACATTTAATAACCTTTTGGACTTGGAAAAATTTAGTTTTTCATTCCTGTGTGTGTGTGTATGTTTAGTTTTTTACTTTCTTGTATATACGAAGTATAGAGAAAGTATTGTAATCTTGCAAAAAAAAAAAATCGAGAATTTTAAGACGTTTTACACCTCACTGATACGGAAAAACATAATTTTGCAATCTTGTCCGTATGTCTGTGTGTCTGTCTGTCTGTCTGTCTGTCCGTGTGTAAACACGATTACTTGAGTACCGTTATAGCTAGGTTGATGAAATTTCATATATAAGTATTTTATCAAAATCGTAGATCCGTATCAACTTTTGAGCGATTTCCGATAACCGGAAGTGGTACTTTTCCTACTTTGAATTTTTCAAAAGCCTATAACTTGAGTACTATTTCAGATAAATAAATGAAATTTCACATGTAAATAAAAGATCTAATTCTCTACCTTCTGTTAAATTTTGAGTAATTTCCATTGACTAGAAGTAGTAATTTACGCTATTTCCGATTTCTCAAAAACTAATGTAAATTTTAAAATAATATTGCGCACTATTATGCGCTTTTTTATTTGGCGTTCACTTGGTGTGCAATTAATTTGTCTACGAGATTTTATTCTATTTTTAAAACTTTAAGTATTTAAAATGGATTAAAAATCATATCTATAGCCTGAGTTCCCATCCCCTGTTATTTTATATAAGAATATTCGAGAAAGTTTAGGGGAGATCACTCCCGGTTTATTTAATCCTGTCTTTGTATATGTATGTAATGACAATTACTTGTGTACCGTTTCATTTAACCGAATTTCATATTTAAGTATTATATCACATATGTAGTTTCCATTTGCTTGAAAGTGATTTCCTGTAACCAAACTTGGTACTTTGCCCTCTTCTGGTTTCTCAAAAGCCTATAACTTGAGTACCTTTTAAGTAAGGTGAATAAGATGTCACGTAAAAGTATTAGATTGTATGCCAAGACTTTTGTTAACTTTTGAACAATTTCCAGTAATCGGAAGTGGTGCTTTACTCTAATGTGACTTATTAAGATGTTAATTAACTATTTAAAAATTAATGGATGTTTCCTTTATAAAGCACACATTTTCTACTCCATTATGTTATGCACCCTTGGTTTACATCTGTTTGGTGCGCAGTTCTTTTTTCTACTTGATTTTAATCAATTCAAAAAAAAAGGAATAAAAAAATTAATTACAAATATTTCTATAGCCTGATTGCACTGAAATTGCCATCCCACTTACTATAATATAAGAATAATTATACCAGAAAGTTAAGGGGTCATCCATTTATGACGTCCACATGCGGGGGAGGGGGGGGGGGTCCAAAATCCAAAAAAAAATTGTGGATATCATAAATGGATGGCCCCTAAGGGGAGATAACTCTCTCTTTTAAATTACTTTCTCGACGTATACAAAGTATAGAGAAAGTATTGTAATTGTGCAAAAAAAAAATTAAAGATTTTTACACCTACCTGAGTCGGAAAAACATAGTTTTGCAATCTTGTCTGTGTGTGTGTGTCTGTAAACACAATAACATGAGTACCGTTACAGCTAGGTTGATGAAATTTCATATATATTATATCAAATTTGTAGATCTGTGTCAACTTTTGAGCGATTTCTTCAGATAACCGGAAGTGGAACTTTTTCTACTTTCAATTTTTCAAAAGCATATAACTTGAGTACTATTTTAGATAGATAAATGAAATTTCAAATGTAAGTAAAAGATCTAATTCTCTGCTGTCTATCAAATTTTGAGTAATTTCCGTTGACCGGAAGTAGTAATTTACGCTATTTACAATTTCTCAAAAAAACTAACGTGAATTTAAAAAGTACTAATAATATTTTGCACTATTACACACATTTTGTTTGCCGTTCAGTTGGTGCACAATTCTTTTTTTGAAGAGATTCTATTCTATTTTTAAAAGCTTAAGTAATTAAAAATGGATTAAAAATCATGTCTATATCCCCAGTTGCCATTCCCCGTAGTCTTATATAAGAATATTCAAGAAAGTTTAGAGGAGATCACTCCCAGTTTATTTTTACCTATTTTTATTTTCTAGTCCATATTGGATTTTTAAAAATAAAAATTTTCTTTACCAGATCTCTTGTCTCAGCCGCCAATGAATTTATTATTTGATATTTAGTTTTTCAGCCAACAATGAATTTTTTATTTGATATTTAGTTTTTCAGCCTACATTGAGTTATTAAAAAAAAATTTCAGCCCACATTGAATTTGTTTTGCTATTTAGTTTTTCAGCCAACATTGAGTTATTTGAAAAATTTTTCAGCCAACATTGAGTTATTTGAAAAATTTTTCAGCCCACATTGAATTTGTTATTTGATGTATTATCTGCTGGATGGTGGACAAGTAAAGTATCTTGGTAGGTTTTTTTTTCTCTTGTTGTATTGATAATTTTCTTGATGATGGTAGGCCTAGATTTAGATTGTATCTATTGTACTGGTAGGCCTAGATTTAGATTGTATCTATTGTACTGGTAGGCCTAGATTTAGATTGTATCTATTGTACTGGTAGGCCTAGATTTAGATTGTATAGCTATTGTATTGGTAGACCTAGATTTAGGTTGTGTAGCTCAAGTATAAAAAAAATGTAAATGTGGAAGTTTAAGGTAGAGATGTTCAGCAAATGCTGGTGAGGCTCAGCACCATTGATTGGAAGTTAGAGTTGTTTTATCATCTTGGCAGAGGACATGGGAACATCATTTCGATCAGATGCTAAAATTGTCATCATTCAGAACATCCCGCAGATTGAAGTCAATTTGACTCAAAAATTTGATTGAGACAACAGCCAACTAGGCTATTTGTCCACCATGTGTTAAAATGGGAGGAGCCACAGCAGACAACACATTTTTAAAATAGGTGGATTGGATCAAAACAACACTCTAAAAAATAGTGAATTGGATCAAATCATCCTCAACTTTGACATGCAAATATTGGTGGTGACACTACTACACTGCTCAAACAGATTGACTCGGCTTCATCTGCCCATATTGCATTTAGATCTCAATATTAGCTAAAACTAGAAGTATAGACCTCTACTTTAGGCAGTAGCTTTTGCTTTGTGTGATTTACTCCATTCATATATAGTATGTGTATAAAGGGACATACAAAATTGTGTTTTTGATTGTTTATATTTTCTGAATTTTTTCCCTAGGTTATATGCCAGTTTCAATTTGTATAGGTAAGTACTAAGCATTAAAGATATTAGATTTTAAATGTAAAATGGATGGTCTACTTAGTTTTATCATCACCATTACTGCGGACCCCTTGTGAACATATACTTAGTTTTATCATCATTATTACTGTGGACACCTTGTGAGCTTATACTACACAATTCTGGCTGCTGCTTCACATATCTTTTCCAAATCTGTTTTGGCCTTCCCGCCCTGCTTCATCCTTGGGGATTCCAATCTAATGCCTGTCTGGTATTGTTGCTAGTTGGTTTACACAAGGTGTGTGTCCAATCCCCCATTTACACTTTAGAATTTTCTCCATAGTTTGGCTTTGGTCAGTTGTTTAGAGCACCTAATGTTCTATATGCTATGCAGGCATCCATGAATGAAAGTCTCAAGTTTGTAGTTTGAACAGCAATTGATTTCTGCTGTTGGTGCACCCTTTAGTTAATGACCCACATCATTAAACATGGGGACACTGCGACCCCGTCAAAGGGTCAGACACAAAAAAAACTTTCTGTCAATATGGCTCCCAACTAAGGGCTCTAATTGTTTATCCATTTGACATATGTAACACATATGGTTACCAGCCAAGGGGGGATAAGATAAAGTTGTAATTCAGTGGGATGCGGCCCCTATGGGACCGCAGCTGTTGATGTATAGTTTTTTTGCATGCTCTTCTGTGAGTGATTTTTACCTGTGTTCCATGTCATGCGCCATGGGATTATGGGTAGTTCGTGCCTAGCCGTGTCAGCCAGACCCAAGGCTGCTGTCTGTGGACACAGAGGTTTCATTATTCATTATTCATCTTTAAGTATCGTCATAGGCGTCATCGTCGTCTTCTTTGGTTTGTTAAGTCGTCTACTGTTTTCTATACTGTTTTCTACTGTTGTTCTACATCGCCGATTATGGTTTGATGTAATGCCATTAGTTGACAACAGTGTCGGTTCAGTGTGTCCTAAATCTCAGGGTCAGCCCATCTTAACCACAACACCTCAGTGGGTAAAAAGCATCCCCACTTAGTGAGTGTTACACATACATATACATTTAAGCAACTCTCAACCGACTAAACATTTTCATATTAAATATCATTGAATTATTTTTGTAATGCTATGAAAATTCTTTTTTTTTTACAGTTGGCTGTTTTCTCCTGCTGTAGAGGTCTATGGTAAGTGACTTTCTTTCTTCTCTAGAGGTCTATGGTAAGTGACTTTCTTTCTTCTCTAGAGGTCTATGGTAAGTGACTTTCTTTCTTCTCTAGAGGTCTATGGTAAGTGACTTTCTTTCTTCTCTAGAGGTCTATGGTAAGTGACTTTCTTTCTTCTCTAGAGGTCTATGGTAAGTGACTTTCTTTCTTCTCTAGAGGTCTATGGTAAGTGACTTTCTTTCTTCTCTAGAGGTCTATGGTAAGTGATTTTCTTCTCTAGAGGTCTATGGTAAGTGACTTTCTTCTCTAGAGGTCTATGGTAAGTGACTTTCTTTCTTCTCTAGAGGTCTATGGTAAGTGACTTTCTTTCTTCTCTAGAGGTCTATGGTAAGTGACTTTCTTTCTTCTCTAGAGGTCTATGGTAAGTGACTTTCTTTCTTCTCTAGAGGTCTATGGTAAGTGACTTTCTTTCTTCTCTAGAGGTCTATGGTAAGTGACTTTCTTTCTTCTCTAGAGGTCTATGGTAAGTGACTTTCTTTCTTCTCTAGAGGTCTATGGTAAGTGACTTTCTTTCTTCTCTAGAGGTCTATGGTAAGTGACTTTCTTTCTTCTCTAGAGGTCTATGGTAAGTGACTTTCTTTCTTCTCTAGAGGTCTATGGTAAGTGACTTTCTTTCTTCTCTAGAGGTCTATGGTAAGTGACTTTCTTTCTTCTCTAGAGGTCTATGGTAAGTGACTTTCTTTCTTCTCTAGAGGTCTATGGTAAGTGACTTTCTTTCTTCTCTAGAGGTCTATGGTAAGTGACTTTCTTTCTTCTCTAGAGGTCTATGGTAAGTGACTTTCTTTCTTCTCTAGAGGTCTATGGTAAGTGACTTTCTTTCTTCTCTAGAGGTCTATGGTAAGTGACTTTCTTTCTTCTCTAGAGGTCTATGGTAAGTGACTTTCTTTCTTCTCTAGAGGTCTATGGTAAGTGACTTTCTTTCTTCTCTAGAGGTCTATGGTAAGTGACTTTCTTTCTTCTCTAGATGTCTATGGTAAGTGACTTTCTTTCTTCTCTAGAGGTCTATGGTAAGTGACTTTCTTTCTTCTCTAGATGTCTATGGTAAGTGACTTTCTTTCTTCTCTAGAGGTCTATGGTAAGTGACTTTCTTTCTTCTCTAGAGGTCTATGGTAAGTGACTTTCTTTCTTCTCTAGAGGTCTATGGTAAGTGACTTTCTTTCTTCTCTAGAGGTCTATGGTAAGTGACTTTCTTTCTTCTCTAGAGGTCTATGGTAAGTGACTTTCTTTCTTCTCTAGAGGTCTATGGTAAGTGACTTTCTTTCTTCTCTAGATGTCTATGGTAAGTGACTTTCTTTCTTCTCTAGAGGTCTATGGTAAGTGACTTTCTTTCTTCTCTAGATGTCTATGGTAAGTGACTTTCTTTCTTCTCTAGAGGTCTATGGTAAGTGACTTTCTTTCTTCTCTAGAGGTCTATGGTAAGTGACTTTCTTTCTTCTCTAGAGGTCTATGGTAAGTGACTTTCTTTCTTCTCTAGATGTCTATGGTAAGTGACTTTCTTTCTTCTCTAGAGGTCTATGGTAAATGTAGATTTAATAAAGGAGGACCCTAAACATGCTGAAAAGCTGTCTGACCCCCAACCCTTAGCAATTTGATTAGTGATAAGCACTAAAACTGCTTAATGAATTGCACATCAAATTAATGAATCTATGGGAAAATAAATTCAGTGGATGTGTGATTTGACCTGCCCCAGACCTCTATAAATAGTCAGTGGATGTTGTCCCCTGTAGCAGACCTCTATAGATAGTCAGTGGATGTTGTCCCCTGTAGCAGACCTCTATAGATAGTCAGTGGATGTTGTCCCCTGTAGCAGACCTCTATAGATAGTCAGTGGATGTTGTCCCCTGTAGCAGACCTCTATAGATAGTCAGTGGATGTTGTCCCCTGTAGCAGACCTCTATAGATAGTCAGTGGATGTTGTCCCCTGTAGCAGACCTCTATAGATAGTCAGTGGATGTTGTCCCCTGTAGCAGACCTCTATAGATAGTCAGTGGATGTTGTCCCCTGTAGCAGACCTCTATAGATAGTCAGTGGATGTTGTCCCCTGTAGCAGACCTCTATAGATAGTCAGTGGATGTTGTCCCCTGTAGCAGACCTCTATAGATAGTCAGTGGATGTTGTCCCCTGTAGCAGACCTCTATAGATAGTCAGTGGATGTTGTCCCCTGTAGCAGACCTCTATAGATAGTCAGTGGATGTTGTCCCCTGTAGCAGACCTCTATAGATAGTCAGTGGATGTTGTCCCCTGTAGCAGACCTCTATAGATAGTCAGTGGATGTTGTCCCCTGTAGCAGACCTCTATAGATAGTCAGTGGATGTTGTCCCCTGTAGCAGACCTCTATAGATAGTCAGTGGATGTTGTCCCCTGTAGCAGACCTCTATAGATAGTCAGTGGATGTTGTCCCCTGTGACAGACCTCTATAGATAGTCAGTGGATGTTGTCCCCTGTGATAGTTTGATTTCTCCCAATGTTCTCCCCAGCAAAAGAAGAAAGCAATGACAGAGCATGTGTGATAGAGATGAAGCAGTTCTACATCAACAACTCAATGCCTCCGTACACAGACTCAGCTGACTGTGGGAACTGCACTCGGTAAACTACAGTCTACAGCCTTAAGTTTACATAGCTGTCTCAAATCTAAATCCATTTCCATTGTGTAACTACTTTAAATCAAAGTCTGTTTCAGTACAGTAAAGCCTGCTATTACTTTTGGGCTAAATGATGTAAGGTTTATCTTTTCATGTCCAGCAACTTCACAAGCATCAAGCTCCCAGAGAGTAACCTGCTCCTGATTGTCTCCACTGTCTGCCCACACTGTGAGGGTTTGTATCCCATCATTTCACAATCTCCGTCAGAGCTCTCTCAAGGGGAAGAGGAAGAACTCATTTGTAGAATGGCCCAAAACCCACGGATGCGAGCTCGTTCTTACAAGTGTTATCACAAAGATGTTAAGGTAGATCAGACTTTTGTTCTTTCTCCTTTCAAAATCATTACATGACTATTAGCAAGAAATTTTAGTTTGCCTTATTTTTGATAACTGATGATTTAAATTTGTTGGTCAATCCTTCTGTAGGAGAATACAGCAGAGTGTGGCTGTGGAAGTTTGAAGGTCAGCTACTTGTCAGTGTTTGGTCTCATCATCTTGACATTTCAGCTTTTCAAGTAAATATGCTCTGGTCTAAACGTCAGAGAAACTAAGGAGGTCTGGCGCTCTTCAAGTAAATATGCAGAACAAATTATTTAAACATTGTTTCTCTCCTTGGTTTGACTTTTCAAATCTAGAGGTCACTGCTCTAGAGGTCACTGTTCTCCATGCATCCCCTGCCTCATTGTATGACCCCAAAAAGTTTGCTTCTAAATCAACAGACTGAGTATTCCTAACTTTTCCAGGTGAAGAAATGTATTGATGTGGTTTCTTGAAGCCATTGCTACAAAATAATATTGCTAGCTCAAACTTGTATGCTCTTGGTTCCAGACAAGTTTGATCTTTTGCTAGATGCAACACTTTTAGTACAAGATCTTGTTTGATCTTGTGCTAGATGCAACACTTTTAGTACAAGATCTTGTTTGATCTTGTGCTAGATGCAACACTTTAAGTACAAGATCTTGTTTGATCTTGTGCTAGATGCAACACTTTTAGTACAAGATCTTGTTTGATCTTGTGCTAGATGCAACACTTTTAGTACAAGATCTTGTTTGATCTTGTGCTAGATGCAACACTTTTAGTACAAGATCTTGTTTGATCTTGTGCTAGATGCAACACTTTTAGTACAAGATCTTGTGCTAGATGCAACACTTTTAGTACAAGATCTTGTTTGATCTTGTGCTAGATGCAACACTTTTAGTACAAGATCTTGTTTGATCTTGTGCTAGATGCAACACTTTTAGTACAAGATCTTGTTTGATCTTGTGCTAGATGCAACACTTTTAGTACAAGATCTTGTTTGATCTTGTGCTAGATGCAACACTTTTAGTACAAGATCTTGTTTGATCTTGTGCTAGATGCAACACTTTTAGTACAAGATCTTATTTGATCTTTTGCTAGATGCAACACTTTTAGTACAAGATCTTATTTGATCTTTTGCTAGATGCAACACTTTTAGTACAAGATCTTATTTGATCTTTTGCTAGATACAATGCCTTTAGTGCAAGATCTTGAGGTGCCAATGGAAAAGTAGAGCATTTAGATCCACTCCAAATTTAATTCTTGTGTTTTTTTGTCTGAAGCAATGTTTGAGCCTGTCTTTTGTTTGTCTGAAGCAATGTTTGAGCCTGTCTTTTGTTTGTCTGAAGCAATGTTTGAGCCTGTCTTTTGTTTGTCTGAAGCAATGTTTGAGCCTGTCTTTTGTTTGTCTGAAGCAATGTTTGAGCCTGTCTTTGTCTGAAGCAATGTTTGAGCCTGTCTTTTGTTTGTCTGAAGCAATGTTTGAGCCTGTCTTTGTCTGAAGCAATGTTTGAGCCTGTCTTTGTCTGAAGCAATGTTTGAGCCTGTCTTTGTCTGAAGCAATGTTTGAGCCTGTCTTTGTCTGAAGCAATGTTTGAGCCTGTCTTTGTCTGAAGCAATGTTTGAGCCTGTCTTTTGTTTGTCTGAAGCAATGTTTGAGCCTGTCTTTGTCTGAAGCAATGTTTGAGCCTAATGGCTGTGTTCTGTGATATCACCTGGTCCCAAGTGGGCCAGCACTCAGCTGAGAAAATATTTTCTTTAACCCTTTATTGCTGTCATTATTTTATATCCACCTTCATAAAAAAATATGTATATAGTTTCATATTTATGTTTTAAAATAACAGAGACAATAATAGTGTAAAAACAAACACAAAAATTGTATATTCATGGTTGTTTTTTCTTGAACTTAGTCAGCTTTTTAAAACAAGGTTTCCATAAAAGATGTTGTTTTTAGTTTCAATTAACTACTGATAAACCCAACTTCTCATTTAGCTCGTATTGATCACTTCAGTAACACTTTTTATTTGTTCCAATATCAATAACTCAATAACAAAACAAAATATTTGAATCAAGGTCAAACACAATTTCTTAATGTAACAAATGTGTCTTTTGTAAAAATGTTTTATGATCATTGTTGTGGTATGACATTTTGTATTTCAAGCTGATGTAGCATCATTACAACACAGTGTAATATGGGGGGGGGGGGGGGGGGGGGCTACAGTTTTCTGATGAGATTTACTTGTCATCCCCTTAAGGAAATAGTGATGAGCCATTTTTTTGCAGCAAGTCTTACGACTTTCAAATTTTGTTTATTAATTATATTTTGATTTGAATGGCATTCCCATCCTTTGCGTGTTGTGCTTTACACCATTCATTGATTTGTTTTCCTTCAATGTCTAGTAGAGCGTTGGGGCTCACCCTGATCAAAAGGACTTATTCAATTCTATACAAACTAATAATAATATAGCAAGCCAAAGAAATACTGTTTTTTTTTAAATTTATATTTGTAAAGGCTTTTAGAATCAACATATTAGAGAAATTGCCCTTTTCTATTGTAACCAATGGGTACAAGTACTACATGCTGGTTAAGTCACATAGATAGTAGGACAGTTTTATGGTCAAAATGGACAGACACTGTAGCATCAATGTTGAACATGTGGACAGACACTGCAGCATCAATGTTGAACATGTGGACAGACACTGCAGCATCAATGTTGAACATGTGGACAGACACTGTAGCATCAATGTTGAACATGTGGACAGACACTGCAGCATCAATGTTGAACATGTGGACAGACACTGCAGCATCAATGTTGAACATGTGGACAGACACTGCAGCATCAATGTTGAACATGTGGACAGACACTGCAGCATCAATGTTGAACATGTGGACAGGCACTGCAGCATCAATGTTGAACATGTGGACAGACACTGCAGCATCAATGTTGAACATGTGGACAGACACTGCAGCATCAATGTTGAACATGTGGACAGACACTGCAGCATCAATGTTGAACAGGTGGACAGACACTGCAGCATCAATGTTGAACATGTGGACAGACACTGTAGCATCAATGTTGAACATGTGGACAGACACTGCAGCATCAATGTTGAACATGTGGACAGACATTGCAGCATCAATGTTGAACATGTGGACAGACACTGCAGCATCAATGTTGAACATGTGGACAGACACTGCAGCATCAATGTTGAACATGTGGACAGACACTGCAGCATCAATGTTGAACATGTGGACAGACACTGTAGCATCAATGTTGAACATGTGGACAGACACTGCAGCATCAATGTTGAACATGTGGACAAACACTGCAGCATCAATGTTGAACATGTGGACAGACACTGCAGCATCAATGTTGAACAGGTGGACAGACACTGCAGCATCAATGTTGAACATGTGGACAGACACTGTAGCATCAATGTTGAACATGTGGACAGACACTGCAGCATCAATGTTGAACATGTGGACAGACATTGCAGCATCAATGTTGAACATGTGGACAGACACTGCAGCATCAATGTTGAACATGTGGACAGACACTGCAGCATCAATGTTGAACATGTGGACAGACACTGCAGCATCAATGTTGAACATGTGGACAGACACTGCAGCATCAATGTTGAACATGTGGACAGACACTGTAGCATCAATGTTGAACATGTGGACAGACACTGCAGCATCAATGTTGAACATGTGGACAGACACTGCAGCATCAATGTTGAACATGTGGACAGACACTGCAGCATCAATGTTGAACATGTGGACAGACACTGCAGCATCAATGTTGAACAGGTGGACAGACACTGCAGCATCAATGTTGAACATGTGGACAGACACTGCAGCATCAATGTTGAACATGTGGACAGACACTGTAGCATCAATGTTGAACATGTGGACAGACACTGCAGCATCAATGTTGAACATGTGGACAGACACTGTAGCATCAATGTTGAACATGTGGACAGACACTGCAGCATCAATGTTGAACATGTGGACAGACACTGCAGCATCAATGTTGAACATGTTGCTGCACCAGAGCTTGGCCAACACTGTGCAGGGAACCAAATCAAGTAGATACATAGTCTAGTGCCAACCCCCAGATAGATAGTGTCTAGTGCCAACCTCCAGATAGATACATAGTCTAGTGCCAACCCCCAGATAGATACATTGTCTAGTGCCAACCCCCAGATAGATACATTGTCTAGTGGCAACCCCCAGATAGATACATTGTCTAGTGGCAACCCCCAGATAGATACATTGTCTAGTGGCAACCCCCAGATAGATACATAGTCTAGTGCCAACCCCCAGATAGATACATATTCTAGTGCCAACCTCCAGATAGTGTCTAGTGCCCACCTCCAGATAGATAGTGTCTAGTGCCAACCTCCAGATAGATACATAGTCTAGTGCCAACCCACAGATAGATACATAGTCTGGATCCAACCTCCAGGTTAGACCATTACACTGTCTAATATAGCTAGGCTAGTATATAAGTGTAAAGTTGATTCCACATAGTTGGCAACATTTGCTTTAAATTTGGAAATAGTTTCTGTTAGATCAACAACAACAAATGCTGAATGTATACCTCTAAGACCTGCAACAATGTAAGTAAAAATACTTGGGCCCTTTAAAACATCTTGCTTTAGTTTTTAGAAAGATTCAACAGGGAAAAAGTCAAACAATGAACCTATTAATTTGAAATATATTTGATAAGAAACTGAGCCGATTGCAGCATGTATCAGAAACTGCTGGTGGCTCCACAAATACTTGTTCATTTCAACCAAGGGGTGTGTAGTGTCTGTTGATAAATCAATGATTTGTCTCATGTCATCTTTTGAACAACTGTGCCTTGAAATATAATTACACATATCAAAGTCATTTCAAAATTGAATTAGTCCAAAGATCTACAAACTTTGACATTAAGATATGTGTGGGGTTGCCACTGAATGTCATTTGTTTAGTTATTTCATTTTCCTTGTACTAATCCTCTTAAACCTGAAGACACCCTTGTCAAGTCACTCTTTGAGAAATAACTTGGGTGTGTATCAGAGTCTGCCTGTTGGTGTGGGGATAACCTTGAGAAATAACTTGGGTGTGTATCAAAGTCTGCCTGTTGGTGTGGGGATGACCTTGAGAAATAACTTGGGTGTGTATCAATGTCTGCCTGTTGGTGTGGGGATGACCTTGAGAAATAACTTGGGTGTGTATCAATGTCTGCCTGTTGGTGTGGGGATGACCTTGAGAAATAACTTGGGTGTGTATCAGAGTCTGCCTGTTGGTATGGGGATGACCTTGAGAAATAACTTGGGTGTGTATCAATGTCTGCCTGTTGGTATGGGGATGACCTTATGTTACACTCATGTCTAGTCTGATAACTTTGCCCTTTTTTGTAAATAGTAACCACCGTCTCAAATCTGAATCTCACACCTAGCATTTTTTATCTTTCCCCCATTTAAAATGCTGTCACTTACTTTAAAATGTAAAACATTATTAAAATAATCAACATTTCTTCTTTTTTATAACCTTGGTGAACATTTTTAAAAGCATTTATTTATTTTGACTTTTGATAAGTCTTTTTGCCTGTCATTTTATATTTGAGTTGCATGTATGGAAAATTTCAATGACTGCCCAACCTTAATTTATATGAATCTTTTAACATGACATTTGAAATCTATCTTTTATTTAGCATAATTCCCCACATGTTAAAAACAAAATAAAAATCAATTTATTATTCTAATAGAATGTGTTAGGTATGCCCTCTGTTACAACTGGTGTAACCCCTGTGTAATGGTGGGCTGATGTAATCCCTGTATTAGTGTAATGGTGGGCTGATGTAATCCCTGTATTAGTGTAATGGTGGGCTGGTGTAACCCCTGTGTAATGGTGGGCTGATGTAATCCCTGTATTAGTGTAATGGTGGGCTGATGTAATCCCTGTATTAGTGTAATGGTGGGCTGATGTAACCCCTGTATTAGTGTAATGGTGGGCTGATGTAATCCCTGTATTAGTGTAATGGTGGGCTGATGTAATCCCTGTATTAGTGTAATGGTGGGCTGATGTAACCCCTGTATTAGTGTAATGGTGGGCTGATGTAATCCCTGTATTAGTGTAATGGTGGGCTGATGTAATCCCTGTATTAGTGTAATGGTGGGCTGGTGTAACCCCTGTATTAGTGTAATGGTGGGCTGATGTAATCCCTGTATTAGTGTAATGGTGGGCTGATGTAACCCCTGTATTAGTGTAATGGTGGGCTGATGTAATCCCTGTATTAGTGTAATGGTGGGCTGGTGTAATCCCTGTATTAGTGTAATGGTTGGAGAAGATGTACAATTCAAATCCAAGGATAAATCCCCTTCTTTTGTCTATTTGACAGCCTGATGTACCACGCTTTATAACAAATTGTATTTTAGTATAATGTAGGCCTACACACACGGTAGCTATTTGAATAAAGGGTGACAGGAGATTAGTTTTCCATGCTCTGTATTTTTTCTGGTAAGAAGAGGTTGTATAATATAAGGTTAATACCCCTGATGTAAAGATAGCAGGCAGAGCCGGCGTTAGGAATACGCGGGGCCTAGGGCCAACCTTCCGCGCGGGGCCTGCTTTTTTCCATTATATAAATAGCCTATATATATATATATATATATATATATATATATATATATATATATATATATATATATATATATATATATATAATGTACAAACACACATAATAACACATAAATGTTTTGGAGTTTATAAGCTAATGCCAAACTTCTCACTTTAATAACAGATGTTTATCTCTCAAACGTTTTAATTTTAACCCAATGTTCTTAGTTGTTGATTTTGTTTGCTAAGATATTAAATCACTTTTGACAGCTATGTAGACAATACCAAATCACGAAAAAAAAATTCAATTAAATGCCCAAAAATTAGGACAATAAAGTTGTTTAAATTGTTAATGACTAATAGTTAATATAAAAGTCATGCGTTGAGATGTATCTAAAAAAAAAAAAAGAGTGCTAGTAAGCACAGAATTGTAGACCAATTACAATATCAACAAAACTAAAGTAATGAAAATTTTCTTTACTTTGAAATGAAATGGATTGATAGCTTTTGGACTTTGCTTGAATCGTGGTTGTGAAAGTGTGAAAACAAACTCTATGTTTATGGATATCCAAAAGAAATGATTCGCT